TTTGTCCGATGCGAAAGTCAGCTGTCACTGTATTGTGTTATAATCAAATTTTAGCAGCTGAATGCTCTAGGAATGTTTCAGGAATTTTTGTTTGATAGACCCATCTGTTAATTCTGTACAAAACACTTGCCTCCATTTATCAGTTGCAATGAGCCTTCATCAGGAAAATGATAAATTTAGATTTTAAAACACTGTGTTACTTTGTCAAAATAGTGTCAGAATAAATTGTAAATCCCATATCTCTTAATCTTAAATCACAAAATAAATCTTAAATTTATGGAACTTAATCCCATAACCTTCCTGAACACCATAAGGAATTTAAAGGCCTCAGAATAATATGAGCCATGACAAGATTCTTGCTTCCTAGACCTGCCAGAAACAAAAGCACAAACCCATTGAATACTGATCTTCTGACTGTGAAGCTGCTTGCATCTGTCTTGATCTGTGAAGGAATCAGCCAGTCTAACGACAATAATACTTGTTTGAAAAAAGTCAGCTTTTTTTTATTGCAGTACCTGCCACGTTAACCAGCAAGATGGGAGAGGATCAGAGAACTACATCGAAGGTAATTCTGTCCTAACAATCCAAGCCCCTCTCTCCTGTTGGCATACAAGACTTGGCTGTTTTGAACTGCCTGGGTGTCTAGTGCAAATGAAGGAGTGTTTGTTAAGATTATTCCTGTCTTCAATTACTGTGTCCTTCTCGAAGAAGTTCTTTTAAAGACGTGCTGGTTTGGAGCAGGATGCCAGAGTCTTAGCAGCAGAGGGAAGTGTGAAGTAGCCCTCTGCTCAGAATGTTTTTTGATGCTAGCAAAGCAACCAAAAGCTTCATAAGGATTTAAGTGGAAACACCTCTGGTTTAAAGCTCATAATCTTGGCTTTTGAAGGGTACACATACGTGCTAGTCTGGTGTAGAATGGAGGGGAGAGTACTCCAACAGATGCCAGCCTGCCGAGTTCAGAACTAGGCTGTGGTGCTCACCTCTGCAAAATACCTGTTCCTTTTGGATAACTGAACTGAATCTGCAGAATAATCAAGCTACTGTGCT